CTGACGTCATAAGGAAAGAGCTGGGTGAGTTTTTCCTGAAACACCAGCTGTTCTGCAGGGTTCCTGCCCAAATCCTCCTCAGTTTCTGCCTCGGTTCTGGGTTGTGCTGGACAGTCCTCGTCGGAAAGCAAAATCCTCCTGCCCCTCGGGATGGGTGCACAGTTGAATTCTGGATTACAGTCCCGGCAAGACATTCCACGCCGATGCGCTTAAAATTCTTCCTTTCTCAGATACCTGCCTTTCATCCCAAGGGGCCTCAGAGGCTTTCCTTGTGTTGGAAAATCTGAAAAAATTAAAATTGAAAGTCATTATGGCTGGGGTAAGGTTAATAAGAAAATCCTAAACCAGATTTATCAGCTAAGGCCTTCTCTGTGAACCTTTATTAAACTTGCAAAAGTTAGAATAGACTCTTCATATAAACTTCACTCAGAAGTCTGCACGGGAACGGACACAGAGCCCTCCACGTCCCTCCTCAGAAGGATGGGAACAAGTGAGGAGGGGTCAGACAGGTCCTTGCTAAAACGGCAGAAGACACCAGGACCCGCTTGGTCATGAGGTCATAAGCAGAGGTAGATGCTCCGGAGGATGTGAGGAGCCACGAAACCCAAAGGGCCAGGAGCACCAGGCATGGCTGCTCCACCAGGAGGGCGCCTCCTGCCCCCACCACCAGGCACAGAGCCTGCGAGGGTGCTGGCCCCACCTTCTACCTCTGCAGCTCACCAGGATCAGGCCCTCTCCACCCCTCCTCTGAACCGCAGACATGAAGGTGCATCTGGCTGGCAGGTCCTAGTTCACCTACCTGGCTGTGGCTGTAGAGAAGGCTGGGAAAGTGGATTTCTGGAAAATAAGGAAGGGAATTCAGAAGGTGCAGGGGAGCCAGGAAGCCTCACCAATGACCACTACACTGACCCTGGCAACTTGAACAAAAAGAGAGCTGCTCATCTCACAAGAGCTGAGAAGTCTTAGAAAAGCTTCCTTCAGGCGTGGCTGGACCTAGGCTCCACCAGCTCACCATGACACTCCTCCAGGACATGCTTCCTGCAGCTAGCTTTGTTCCCAGGCTGTGAATGGTGGCTCTCACCCAACCCAACACCTTCAGATTCATGTGTTTGCCATGCCCAGGCCAGACACAGGGTCCACCAGAACTGAGCCCTAATTGGCTGACCCAGGTCATGAGCCTATTTCAAACCAGTCATTGAGGCAGGGGCCTCAGGGGTGGAGAACAAGGATCTGAACCATTTTCAGGGAAGGACCCGATAGTATTTTCATCTGTGGTCAGGCTGTCTCTATTGCCCTGACTCAGTACCACTGTTGGGGCAGGAAAGCAGCCACAGGCTATATGTAAATGAAGGGGGTGTGGCTGGGTATCAATAAAACTTTGTTTATAAAAATAGGCTTCGGGCCAATGCCACACTAGACCAAGCTGCCTAGAGAGCTTCATCCCAAGCCCTTAAGGAAACTTGGGGGTGACATGGCAGCAGGACCAGAGTGGGGTGATCCTGGTCAAACCTCCCTCAGAATCCTAAAGGCCCGAAGCTACCCAGGGCTGCCACACAGCTCCCAGGGAAGGCCAGCAGATTTTCCTTCGAGGAATTTCTGAGAAGCAACCGAAAGATTCAAGCAGGCTGCTTTGGGGGCAAGGGGTGTCCCCAGCAGGAGTGGCCCTGGGCCAGGTGTCAGAGGCCAGTGGTGTGGAGTTCAGGGCATCTCTGGAGAGGGCTCAGGGTCCCAGGACCCGGCACATTTTGCAAACTTAGATCCCAGGGTCGGGGAGCTCACTAGCCTTGAGTCCTCCACCAGCACTGCCAGGCTCACCTGCCTGCCTCACTGCACCGATGGGGCGGGACACCCTCCTCCCTGCCCCAGGCCTGCAAAGCTCCTCCCCGCCCGGCCCTGAGGCCCTCCCACTACCACCTCTGCCTGGAGATGGTCCCAGCAGGGAGTGCGTAACATGGCTCAGCTACCGCCTCCCCTGAGGACACCAGGAGGGACAGTCACCTCCACCTCATAGCTGTGTCCCACTCCCAGGACCCCTAGGTACCAGGTCAGCCCCTAGGCCTACTGCAGCGCAGCCCTGGCTGAGGAGGGCTGCCCCTCCTGCCCGGTCCCCCAGCCCTCCTGGAACTTGTTCACAGGCCTCAGTGAAGCTCCCTTGAGTGTCCCCTGCAGCGGTCCTCTGCCTGGGGCCTGGCCGCATAGTACCCCACATGGCCGCAGCCTGAGCAAGGGCTGTCCTCTCTCACAACCGAGGACCACAGGGCTGAGACCAGGCAGGCAGCCGACTGCACCCCCCTCCCAGGCACATTCACCCCCAGAACGCACACCTTGGATCCCCAGCCATGGCCTGCATAGCCCCTCCCATCCCCCCCACGGGCACCGTCCCCCCATGCCATGATGCTGTGCAATGCAGTGTGTCCCTGTCTGCTGGGGGACCGTCTGACCCCTGGGCAGCTCAAAACATGTGTGATGAAGGGAAGACGGAGTGAGTCCCAAAGCTCCCTCCTCTAGGGTGAGGTCAGCCTCTCCAGGCCTCCCCAGGTTCCTAGCGGCAGCTTCTGGGCTCCAGCCACCTGGCTCAGGAGCAGAGACAGCAAGGGGATTCCACCCCACGCTGGATGTTGGGAGCGGTGGAGGCAGCAACTGTCCACTCCGGAGTTAACAGACAGTTCCTCCGGATCCTGAGATGAGCTCTTCTGCAGCTGAGTGTGGCCATGTGAGGAGGGGCCCCAGCTCCACAGGTGTGGCTGAGACCCCACTTTGGATAAATCCACAGTTTTTCTTCCTAACAAGGTGATTGTTTTGGGGTGATCACCTGCAGGTGACGCCATTCATACCAGACCTGGAGCTGGGCCAGGCTGCAGGGTTTTCGGCCGAGCTTAGAGTCCCAGGCCGAGGAGGCTGATTAAAGGACTTTCTCTGAGCCTTTGAAATACAGAGAAAGGATGCAGCACTGGTCTAGCAGTAAGCTGGGATATTTTTCCATCCTTGACAGGGGAGCCCCAGTGGTGTGGGTCTGAATTCTGCTGCTGTGTCTCTGTCCCTTTTAGAACGCTGACACAGCTCCTGCCTGGGAAAGGGGAGCAGCATAGTTCATTTCTGTGCATTTATTTGAAGGCTATCACTCACTCCTTCCTTCACTGACGAGAGGCCAGGCCTTGGGCCAGAAGGGACAGCCGCCATCTGTATGGCCCTGGACCATGTACACCCAATGTCATCGTCCATGGGTCTGACAGGGCCTCCGCGCTGTCAGATGCGCGCTGACAGATGCGTGCTGAAGGGGCACTGGTGGTTCGGGTGAATCTGCGCTGTCTCAGGCCTCCGCTCACACCGGCTCTGAGACTCTGGGCACAGACCTGGCACCTCAGGGCGTCTGCATGCTGCTCTGTCTGTGCAGCACCCACCTGCGGCAGATGTAGTCTGCTGGCCGCCTGATGCCCCTTTCCCACCTCTTCTCCATTTCCCACCTCACAAGGCTCCATTCTGTGGGCTCATGGTGGCCAGGGGACATCACCCTGGCTCACAGAGCGTTGGCACTAGTCAGCTGGGGTGGGGCACTCTGGGAAGACTCTTTCTTACTGAAGGGACAGCTGTGCGTCTCAGGCAGCCAGAGGGCCAGGCCAAGCTTCAGGGTCCTGACCATGGGAGGCTGGGGAAGGTTAGAGCCCTGCCCTGACAGGCCCAGCCACCAGCAGCCCTGGAAGGTCAGGCTCCTGGGTTCAGGCCACCACAGTGCCAGTTTCTGTTTGCTGCACCCGAGGGCTCCTCCCTACTCCCGGCTGAGGGCAGGTGTGAAGGTGGCCCGGGTGAGATCCCCGACACCCAGCCTTGTTTTAACCTGATCACTTCTTGAGATCACCATCTCCAAATACAGTCACACTCTGAGGTCTTGGGGGTCTAAGGCTTCAAACATAGAAATTTCAATACATGCTATTCAGCCCCTAACAGTGCCCCACAGCAGGACACAGGGCTTCCCACCTGTGACGCCCCAGCGCCTGTCCTGGGAGGAAGGGTTTGTGATCACAGGACCATCACATCATGCAGCACTTCTCAGCCATCTCAGCTGCACACAGCAACGCAAAGGAGTCCCAGATCCACAGTGCTGAGCAGAAGAAGCCGGACACAAGTGCTGGAAGGTTCCGTCCATGTAAAGGACAAACCTACGTGAACTCACCTGTGACACTAGAAGTCAGTGTGCGCTTACGAGGCTCCTACAGCAAATGGCCACAAATTAGGGGCTTGAAACAACAGGAATTTATTCTGTCAGTCCGAAACCAGCAGGAATTTGTTCCATCAGTCCGAAATCAGCAGGGTCTTGCTCTCTCTAACGACTCCAGGGAGAACCCTCCCTGCCTCTTCCGGGTTCTGAGTCAGCCCTGGTTTCCTGAGGTTGTGGCTCCACGAGTCCAGCCTCTGCCCCATCTCCCACGGCCTTCCCCTCTGAACGTGTCTGTGTCTTTTCTTCTTTGTGAAATCCCCTCTGCCTCTTCTAAAGATGCATGTGGTGGCATTCAGCTCCCACCTGGATAATCCAGAAAAGTCTTCCATCTCAGAACCCTTACCTCCATTGCCTCTTCTCCCTGTAAGGTGACATTTCCAAGGTGACATTTGAGATGTGGCCACATCTTTGGGGCCACCATCAAGCCAGGACAAGTGGAAACTTTGGGACCTGGAAGGGGTCTGGAGTGGGGACTGGGAATGAAAATAAGCACTCATTGTTGAAACTGCTCCGTCAGTGGCCCTCTGCCGTGGCCATGGGCTGATGCGCCTACTGGGCAGGCCTGAACGCCTGCTTCCGCGGACCCCACGTGGCTGTGCTACGTATGAGGTGCACGCTCCTGTGTGCCCCCAAGCAGCCTGTCATCTCTGAGTCCTGATCTGGGCGCTGCTTGCACAGTGTGTTTGTGAGCATTCACTGAGCTGTACACATGTGCCACGTGCACTTCTCTGTGCATATTTACACTTAACGCAGGCTTGGAACATTCTTTCCTTCCATTTTGCAGTTTGCAGGGGAGGTCCCCGAAAACCGTGTTGAGACCGTGGTCGCAAACCTCACTGTGATGGACCGAGATCAGCCACACTCGCCAAACTGGAATGCCGTTTACCGCATCATCAGTGGGGATCCCTCCGGCCACTTCAGCGTCCGCACAGACCCCGTCACCAACGAGGGCATGGTCACCGTGGTGAAGGTGCGTACTTTTCTCATACCCTGCCAGGCACCCCAAGTTCTGCCACCTGCACACTCCCTGGGACAAAACAGGAGTGATACTTGGTATAAAGTTAGTGTGCCCCTAATATCCAAGGGCAGAGGCAGGTAACCCAACCTGCTGGAGTCAAAGACAACCTTCACAAGGACCACTTGTGTGACCTTCAGGGGCTTGGCAGAGTCCCCCAAAATACCCACCTATTCCCTTTCTGACATCTATATATTTTCCCCTGCCCCTTAGTCTAGTAATGGGTGAATTTCACTATTATAACTCCCAATGTTAAACCATCTTTGCATTCCTGAGAGAGAGCTGAGTAGTGAGGTAATCTTTTGTAACATACTGAAGAATTTGTTTTGCTGATATTTAAAGTTTTTCATGTACTTTTCTGGGCGATTTAGACTTATGGCTTTCCTTTCCCATAGCGTCCTCATCTGGGTTTTGCTATCAAGGTAACAGACTAACCTCAAGAGATGTGCTGGGAAGTGTCCCTTTGTTCTCTGTCCTGGAGATGGGTCATGGGATGCTGTAATAATCTGTGTGGAATTTTGGTCACACTGTGCCGTGAAGCCATTGAGTAGCTGTGGATTTTGTCTTTTTGATTGTGCTTCTTTCTGTTTTGGAGAGAGATCGGTTTGTAACTGCTGGTTCAATTTCTTTTGATGGTTTTGGCCAGATATGTTTTTCAAGAAAAGTGTCCATTTAATCTAAATTTTCAAATGGACTTATAAAGTCTTAGTCCTGTCATTATAGTAGTAGTGATTCAGTCTTCTAGCCTAAGTCTTTTTCTACACTTATAATTCATATTCCCCCGGAAGGGCAGATTGTAAATTATACAATAACACTTAGCGTTGATTTACAACGTAGTATGAAGAAGTTTGTAGCCATCGTCCCAGAGAATTCTGAATAGGGCTAAGAAAAAAAGTGCAAGAGCACATCAGACATAGCTAGAGAAAAGAGGGTAACAAAAGGTGAGCTTAAAGCCAGATAGGCTACACCAATGCATAAGGAAAAGCAGGTATAATTTTGGGTTGGATCATTTAGAAATTTCTTCAGCTGCTGGGAGCAGACTTGACCACAGAAGTCCTCAATACTCAAGAACTTTATTTTCTCAAATGAGAGGAGTCCTGAGGTGGGCAGTTGGGGTTGATGTCACAGTTGCACAATCAGCAGAAACCCTGGCCCCTTCTAGCCTCTGCTCTGCTGTGCACACCTTTCAGCTTCTTGGGCCCCTCGTGGTCCAAAATGACTGCAAGAGCACCAGTCATTACAAGACTTTTACAAGCAGTAGAAAATCAAAAATGGGGAAGAATAGTTTGCCCCTCCTTTATTAAGGGACCTTCCCAGAACACCTGTTCACATCTTACTGGGCAGAGTTTAGTCACACGGCCATTCTTAGCCAGAGGAGATACTGCACGACAGTGATGGGCACATCTCCCAAACTTCTCATGAGGAAGAGGGGAGCTAGACGTCAGGAGGCCACGGGGGAGGAAAGCAGGCTCTCCGAGATCTGTGTCTTTGAGACGCCAGGAGGCCATGGGGGAGGAAAGCAGGCTCTCCGGGATCTGTGTCTTTTCCCAACACCCAAAGTCATCTTCTTCCTTGTCTTAATAACCCTTTTTCCAAGCAACCTGTGTGAAGACCAGTTCTGCTGAAAAATCTTATAAATATCTCCATCATTTTTACCTTATGAAGTATTCAAACATACAGACAAGCAGAAATAATAGTAAAATGAACTTCCATACACCCATAACCTCAATTTCATTAACATTTTGCTACATTTACTAAATCTTTTTATTTTGGCTGATGTGTTTGAAAGTAAATTAATATGTCACAGCATTCCAACCCTGACCATATAAGCTTTCTTCTCCAAGAGAGGCTATTTTTTCACCTGAAAGATAGTTCTTAGAGAAGAGGCAAAATACACATTTCACTTCCCCTCTAATTATGAATTTTCAGAGTGGGGTGTTAGCACAGTCGCACCCCCAGTGGCAAAGTCAGATCTGTGTGCTCAGGGACTGGGCATGGCGAGGGAAGATGTGACAAACCCTTTCTCCTCTTCTCTGGATGCATTTGACCTCGAGCTAGCATTGTACCTCCGGCCCCTAGAAACCACAAGGTGAACATCAGCCGCTTTGCTGGCAACGTTGCTCATGGGAAGGTGACGGAGACTGGAGGTGACATGCAGGCAGAGGAGAGGGATGAGCCATGAGCCCAGGGCTGGCTGGGCTCCCCAGGGAGCAGTGAGCCTTGGCCCACCTCCTGCTTGTGATTCCAGGGAGGCCTCTCTGACTCCCACAGCTCAGATTCTGTGGCCTTCACTGGGAGCACCCAGGACACGCCCCAACCCAGGAGAGCAGCACCTGGCTTGCCTGCCCTGCACCTGGAGTGCCACTTCTGCAGCTGAAGTACACACAGCCCCGCCACCTTCATGAGCCCAACATAGGTCAGAAAGGGCCAGAACAAAGGAAGAAGTCTGGCTCAGTGTGGTGGGGAAACCTGACCCCTAAGGACTCCAGGGAAGGTGGCTTCCTGCCTACCCAGCCCGTAATAGGGCTGGCAGCCTCAGCCGTCTTGCGCCTGCCTGGCCCTGTCTGCACAGAACATCACAGCCATAGAAGGTGAACAGCACAGCGAGCTGCAGGGAAGCATCAGTGTCCTGGAACTACATGGACCTCATGGCACTGGGCCAGGCCCTCTACAGGCCCACGGAGCCCTCTACAGGCCCACAGAACCCCTCTACAGGGCCACAGAGCCCTCTACAGGCCCACGGAGCCCCTCTACAGGCCCACGGAGCCCCTCTACAGGCCCACGGAGCCCTCTACAGGCCCACAGAACCCCTCTACAGGGCCACGGAGCCCTCTACAGGCCCACGGAGCCCCTCTACAGGCCCATGGAGCCCTCTACAGGCCCACAGAACCCCTCTACAGGGCCACAGAGCCCTCTACAGGCCCACGGAGCCCCTCTACAGGCCCACGGAGCCCTCTACAGGCCCACAGAACCCCTCTACAGGGCCACGGAGCCCTCTACAGGCCCACGGAGCCCCTCTACAGGCCCATGGAGCCCTCTACAGGCCCACAGAACCCCTCTACAGGGCCACAGAGCCTTCTACAGGCCCACGGAGCCCCTCTATAGGCCCACAGAATCCCTCTGCAGGAACCCCTCTACAAGCCCACGCAACCCCTCTACAGGCCCACGGAGCTCTCTACAGGCCCACAGAGCCCCTCTATGAGCCCATAAAGCCCCTCTACAGGCCCACAGAGCCCTCTACAGGCCCACAGAGCCCCTCTACAGGCCCACAGAACCCCTCTACAGGCCCACGGAACCCCTCTGCAGGCCACGGAGCCCCTCTGCAGGCCACAGAAGCCTCTTCTGTTCTTCAGAGAGGAGCCACTGGATCCAGGCGTGCAGCACAGACTAGTCAGAGAGTCCCAGGCATTGTCAGAGTCCCAGGAGGGCCTGGGGGCCGCCACCCCGGGAACTGATTCCTGAGGTGGAAAATCATCCCCTTGGTGTTCTTCCTCTAGCCGGGGATGCTCCTGAGAAGGCTGTGGGTGACTGACTTCCCCAGGGCTCAGCTGCTCGGCAGCCGTCTTCCCCAACAGGAAGGCCCTGTCCGGGAGGCAGGTGGGGCAAGAATTAGAAGGGAGCAGAGGAGGTGCTGATGGCGGCCAGGTGGGCACAGCTGGACACATTCACTGACTTTCTGTCACATGGCAGCTTGGCGGCCAGCCACCCTCTGCTGAGTTTGTGCCATGTCCCCTCCCCAAGCCATCAGGTTCTCCTGCCCAGCTACACCCTCTCCTTATCAGGCCTCTGTCTATGCAGTAAGAGTGCCGTTTCCCGAAGCGTGTTCATAGAGTGCTGATTCTCAGGGTGTTGGCAAGCGCTGCCTGCAAGGGCCACGTTCATGGCTAAAATCTCCCGGTCGCCTGTGCCTCCTGCCCACCCACAGCTGGTCGTCAGTAGCACTGAGGCCTTTGAGGGGCCTGTGAAAGGAAGATAGAATCTCGGGACTCCAAACCCACTATGCCAAAGGGCAGTGGAGCTTGGGGACTGAGTCTCACGGTGCTGGGGTTCACACACCTACCCTGACTTCTGTGAAATGCAGATCCACTGAATGCTGAGCAGAGCCTTGCAAGGATGTAGACAGTGTCTGATTGCCCACCGAGCCCCTGCTTTTTTTTCCTTCCCTCTTTCCCCTCCTACCTACTCTTTCCTCTTTAAACAGTGAAGCCCTCAAAACCCTCTTTACGAAAAGCACAGGACACAGATCCCACTGGGACTTGTGCTTCTTTTTCCTGGGTGAGGACTCAGGCTCAGCAGAATAATCCTCAAATCAACTGAGGTCAGTGCAGACTCAGGCTCAGCTGAATAACCCTCAAATCGACTGAGCTCGGTGCGGGCTCAGCCTTTGCAGAACAACTCTGGAATTGAGTCAGATCCTGCAGCCCCATCCCTCAGGCCTGGGACATGTAGAGACCTGCCATGCTCAGTGGAACAAACATATCCCCTGCCTGGTGACCCGCTTCTCCCACGAGAGCCACAGAAGCTAGAAAGGTGCCTGCCACACCTCACCCACAGGCAGGCTGGCGCCCTCCAGCCGAAACCCAGAGGCGAAAGTCTGCAGATTTTCAGATTTGGGACTTGGGGTGCATTTTGCCTTTACACAGCAGCCATCTCCCCCACCAGGCACCAGGAGGAGCAAACCAGGTTCCCACAGCACCACCTACTTCACCTGCCCTGGAGGGAAGGGGTGCTTAGGCCAGAGGAGGTCCCAGAAGGGCTGTGGCTGGCTCAAGCCTTCATGACCCAGAGAACTAGCACCACCCCTACTTCTGCTGCACATCCCCAGATCTCCAGCACCTCAAAACTGCCGGGGAACCTCAGGCCAGGCCCCGGAGTGATCAGCTACAGTGATCATTGCAGCCGATATTGATCAGGCACCAATACCAGGTGTGCCATCCTCACCCCTTGTCTCACTT